GAACCATTCTGATATAGGTGACTTTTCCTGTATGTTTCTATGGTGTTTCTGCATAGCACACCTTGAATTATTGACTTACTTTCTAATACTTTCTCTGCCTGGCTATCTCATCTTTGTGGGATTTTAAAATCTTTACCCCAGGATATGTTTATTTTGATCTTTTTTTAGAGAGAGGAAGAGAGAGAGGAGAGAGAGAGAGAGAGAGAGAGAGGAAGGAAGGAAGGAAGGAAGGAAGGAAGGAAGGAAGGAAGGAAGGAAGGGAGGGAGGGAGGGAGGGAGGAAGGAAGGGAGGAAAAGAAAAAGGAAGAAAAAAGGGAGAGAGAGAAACATGGATTGCTTGCTTCCTGTATGAGCCCTGACTGGGAATCAAACCCACAACCTTTTGGTGTATGGAATGACACTCCAACCATATGAGCCATCCGGCCAGGGCTGGGCTATTACATCTTTGGATTCTAGTACTTAGTACAGGGCCTGGCACATGGTTGGCATTTATTGAATGTGTATTTGAATAAATAAGCTATGAAGATCCTTTTATATCAAGGTGATTGGAAGCTTTATACACATCAGTGAGATCTTTTAATTACTTGTCTTCCCCTGAAAGCCCAGAAGAGTCTTTGAGGCTGAGGGTGTTGTTTTTCAGGCACTTTGCATGTTTGTCATCCAAGTACATGTGTCCCGGTGTGCCAGCAGTGATGAGCACCTTACTCGCCAACATCAATGCCTACTATGCCCACACAACTGCCTCCACCAATGTGTCTGCATCTGATCGCTTTGCAGCCTCCAACTTTGGGGTGAGTATGATATAAAACATATCTACCCATTTGTTATCAATTAATAAAGTTTGATTTTTCATGGTCAATACTGTAGAGTTGGTTGATGAGCCTAAAATTCAGATAGATGCCACATAGATAGGTGAATTTGTTTCCTTATGAATATGCAGACGATGCTGATAGACTATTCTTATTTCATTATGGATATGTTGACTTACTAATAGACTCTCCTCAGACACAGATAAATGAGAGAAAAAGAGCATCACTATGGTTTGGGGGGCACACCTGGGCTCAGGTAGAACCTCTCTAGGCCAAGAGTGTGGCTGAATCATCATGTTCGTTAGTCCTACAGGTCCACAAATGGATCTTTCTTAATATTACTCAGTCTCTCTCTGACAGATTCATACCACTTAAATTCATATGAGACTATTGCCTAAGCAAGAATATCAGTGTATACTCAGCCTATCACTTTTCTAGTGTCTGGACTGTTTTTTTCTATTCAGGGCGTGCCCTTTCCTATGTTAAGGTACTTGAGAAGTTGAATCTTTACTCAGAATGTCACCTGACATAACTTCAATATAAACTAGATGAAATATCTTTGACCCACCCCAAAAATGACCTCTTTAGGCATAAAATCACTGATACCCCCAAATCCACTAGGTCTGTTTATGGACCTAACAACTTTTTCTTGTTATTAAAGAGAGTCTTTCTATAGATGAATTAATATCATTGATTAAGCCTTTGTTTCATTCTGTTATATCCCATTATATATTGACTTAATATTCAAAGATATTTATATATATAAAAGGCTAATATGCTAAGTGTCCCTCCGACCGGTCGCTATGATGCACACTGACCACCAGGGGGCAGACGCTCAACATAGGAGCTGCTGTGACATGCACTAGCCATTTACAAAGAAACAGCACCGTGGACCTGGCATTGACAAAGCAACACTGGGCTTCCCCCAAGTGGGACACAGGCCCCGCCACCACCCCAGAGAGACAGCCCACCAAATTGCAGCCAATGCTGCTAAGACCCCATGTCACCAAATGCAGCCCATAGCCCAGCTCAGCCCAAAACAGTGGCTGTGGGTGCCGGGTAATGACATCACATAGCAACGCCCGGCTTCCTCTCCCTAGCGACTAGCCTCCTTGGAGATTCTTCAGCCCAGGAACACGTCTTGCTTTATAGCCAGGTGCAAACATTTTACACTTTAACCAAATGCCTGTGAAGCGTTTTCCCATGCCTCATCTCATTTGATCCTCACAGAAGTCCTGGAGTAGGTAGATAGGAGACTCGGTAGAATCCCGTTTTCTTTTCGTTAGCCGGAAAACAGAGATTTAGAAAGTTTAGAAACTTGACCTGGCTGAAAAGAAGTAAGAAATGGTGGATCTTGGAAATGACTTCAGTTTTTCTCACTGCACAGAATATAGTCAAACACTGCTGCAGTTAAATGTTTTACCCTTTGTTCTCCCTGCGTGATCTACAATAATACTCTGCTTCATGTTGATATTTACTGCTGTGTTACTGACAATTACCTGAAAGAGAAGTTGAGGTACTTCACTGGGCTGGAAAAAGTTTAGCTAAATCAGAAAGCAGGTCTAATTAAGCAAGTTTATCTATTTATATAAAGCTTTCACTGGTGCCAATCGCATGTGTGTGTTTCGATCTGTCATTGTCCATTGTGAATTTGTTTGACACTTCTATTACTAGTATAGAGAAAGGGCGAATAGCAATATTAAAATACTTCTTCTAATTAATTTCTTTTCAATGTGCATGAATTTGTGCACTGGGCCTCTAATCCTATATAATAAAGAGCTAATATGCTAATTAGACCAGCGGTACAACCTTCTGGAATGACCTTCAGGAACGACCAGTGGGCAGCAGGTGGGGCCGAGATCGATTGCCCCGTAGAGGGTGGCGTCACCTGGGGCTGCAAGGGCCAAGTCCCTTGCACGAATTTCGTGCATCAGGCCTCTAATATAATATAATCAATATATGCATTCTAGAAGTGCTATGCCACACAGCGTATAGACATGTGATTCCACATTTAATTATACCTTTCCTATAAAAATCAACTATTAAATTAGTATATGTTATATAAACTGAGGGAAATGATGTAGATGTGGTTTAAAGAGAAAGCCACTCAAGACTACCTGATCACCTTCCAAATACATCACTCTTTCTCCCTCCCATTGTTACTGCTGGGTTGTGACTAACTCGTCTGAGCTACCCCAAGATAAGTCAGGAGACCACAGACTAAGGAACAAGTTGGAGAATGTTTGGAGTTTCCCTTTATTTGACTAAGAGGAGTTAGAGTTTCAAAGGGATGGAGGTGCACTCTCTGGTCATCTCCTATTGACTCCTGTACAGAAAGAGCAGTTTTCCCTCCCAGGGACTGCCTCTCCCCTTGCCAGTGTGAAAAGATTGCCCAGTTTGAGACAGAGCTGCTAAGACATGGAGCAGAGACCACCAATTGTATTTCTCCCTTACATGTTGTTATTCTCCTCATGAGGAGAGATGGATGTGATGTGTCCCCAACCAGTGTCTCCTCCTCACCCAGAGGTGGTTCAGTTTCTTTCTAGTGTTAGGAGCTCAGAAGCAGATTATTTCTCTTTATTTGTTTCCCACGGTCAGAAAGAGAGATTTGTGAAACTACTGGACCAGCTCCACAACTCCCTGAGAATTGACCTCTCTACATACAGGGTGAGTAAAGACATGGCTGTGGGGCTGGGTAAGAGATAATATTAGCTCAGTCTAGAGAGACTGTACGCCATTCTTGGCTATAAAGATTGAAGGCAAGGAAAATTGGTCTGCGTCATCACACCCACGTGCATGGCCAATGCCACTGACACCTGTGGTTCTGCAAACTCCAAGGAGCATGCAGTGTGTAATAGTAGTAGGTGTGGCTGCTTTTTAAAGACAGTGGCTTTCTAACCCCACTCACTTAACTCTACCAAATTGTCTGATGATATTCCATTAGGGAGTCTCCTGAGGATAATCTCTTCCAGAAATGCCCCTTTAAAAATTAGATAATTATGTTTCCTTCCTGCATTATTCCATATTCTCCTCACTTTTCAGAGGAGGTGTGAGAATCCAGCTAAGGGTAGAGAGAGAGCAGCTTGGCTTGGGCAAGTAATTTGTAGCAGAAGTCATCTCATCCCTAGGATGGAGGGAGGAAATAGATATAGTAGGAGGGTGGGTACCTGGAATGGGCAGGACAGGGAAAGGGGCAGTTTTTCAATTCTTCCTAAGTTAAATCTTCTTAGAATGGATTCATTACTTGCTTTAAAGTGCTGTGAATTTCCAGGACAGGCAATATATCCACATTAAAAAGTAAGTATAAAAATAACCTCAAAGTAAAAAAAATAAATGAGGTTTTAATGATCTGTACTTCTAGTGCCCTCCATTTGCACGAATAATGGAGAGTTGACTGTATATCTTATACTTGGCATATAAGTAGTTATAGGAAGGTTTAAATAAGTGGTTTTTAATATGGGGAGTGGCTCAACATCTCCCTTCAGCTGTCATTGGCAACTTCTTCCTAAAACTCATGTCAAAGGGGATGAAGTGAAGCACGGCTGGAACGTCCTAAGGAACTCACTCCAAAAGCAGTTCTGCTCAGAGCTCTGCCATCTGCTGGCTGCAGAACAGAGGAATAGCTGGAGCCCGTTGTACAAGAAGTACAGGTCTTGGTCTGGAGTGTGGCTACACTTATATTCCAGGATATACAGTTAGAGTGTAACTTTTGAAGAACTCACTGTTTGGGTGTAAGAATCTTCACCCAAGAAAAGTGTGTGTATGTAAGTGTTTGTGTGTGTGTGTGTGTGTGTGTGTGTGTGTGTGTTCATTTGTGCAAATGCACACACATTGCATGGGAAGTAGGGTTGGGGGGAGGAAGCATTGCTTTCTGGGCTGGGATTATTAGCCCTTGCTTTTGGCAAAGGCCTGTCTATCTCAGTATTACAGCTTTTTTGTCCATCTCAACTAGAAAAAATTCCAGTGGGTAGCAGTTAGGGAAGTTTTTTATTTCATTACTTCTGGAAGGGAAGGCTTTCATATTTCTCTATTCCTTTCTTGCATTTGCTTGATTTACAACAGAATAATTTCCCTGCTGGGAGTCCTGAGCGTCTTCAAGACTTAAAGTCCACAGTGGATTTGCTGACCAGCATCACTTTCTTCAGGATGAAGGTAAGAGATGAATTGGTCTGGGGACCTGGCCACAGGGATATGGAAAATAAGAATAATTTGGCACAGTGTGAGGCTACAGGAATCATCTCCTCTAAGCCCACATTTCCATACATTTGTTCCCTGGGTTACTTTGATGAACACAATGGATCAATAAGGATGGGCTTGGCAGTTCTCCCCATCAGATATCTTGGCAATTTAAATTCAGGGCAAGGTCCAGGAACCCATGGAGGGATGAAGGAATCTGGACTAGTTTAGAGGTAGTTCTAGGAGAAGATCCCCACCCAGGTGAGCACAACCCTGGGCACATATTCCTTTTCTTAATTGGCAGGTGCAAGAACTGCAGAGCCCTCCAAGAGCCAGCCAGGTGGTAAAGGATTGTGTGAAGGCCTGTTTGAACTCCACATATGAGTATATCTTCAACAACTGCCATGACTTGTACAGCCACCAGTATCAGCTGGTAAGAGGTTCAGGATCAGGTGGGACCAGCTGTCAGTGGCTCTTGGAGCCTCAGCTTTCCTTTGCTGTGGTCATGGTAGAAGGGAGTTCAGGACAAAGTCCCAATGTTCTTGAGGGTGAGTGAGTTTTGTAGGATTTGAACCATCTAGACCAGCGGTTCTCAACCTGTGGTCGCAACCCCTTTTGCGGTCGAACGACCCTTTCACAGGGGTCGCCTAAGACCATCCTGCATATCAGATATTTACATTACCATTCATAACAGTAGCAACATTACAGTTATGAAGTAGCAACGAAAATAATTTTATGGTTGGGTCACAACATGAGGAACTGTATTTAAAGGGCCAGAAGGTTGAGAACCACTGATCTAGACCATGTGAGACATTTGTGGATGGACAGGGACCAGGTGTGACATAACTGAGTTGAACAACAGTGGGAACAGTAAGTTTTAGTTTAAGAAAATGAGTAAAATTTGAGCAGTTTCAGAGGGTAAATTTGCAGTCCATCCCAGAGTCATTTTTTCTCCCCCAAGATTAATTTTATTCTGACTCATGGATCCTTCTATGTTTCAGTCTCCTTCCTTTAAGATCTATAGCTGTCTCTCTGAGCTACTGGCTAATAGAAATTTAACTTTTCCTTTGACCACTTCTCTCTGCACTGCATGGTCTTCTGAGATATATTGGTCAGCTGAATATCACAGCTGGACATGTCCTCTGAAAGGCTGCCCTATTTCGCCTATTTTATGCTGGCATCCTAACTTAGTGCCTGGTGACTTTGTATATTTTTCTTGACCTCTTCAATAGTATTTTTTTTTCTCATTTCGAGTTAATTTTTGTGAGAGGTATAAGATAGGGATCCAATTTCATTCTTTTGCATGTGAATATCCAGTTTTCCCAACACCGTTTATTAAGGAGACTATCTTTTCCCCATTGGGTATTCTTGGCTTCCCAAGGCCTTTTCTTATTCAGCTAGGCAAGTAGCTTCCTAGATGCAGTTCTTCCTCATAAGGACATTCCAGGGGTTAAGGGAAGTCCTAACCCATTGGCGGTTAGGCCAACCTGCATGCTAGGTCTGTTCAGTAGCTCCTGCAAAACTTGAAGTAGCTTCTCGGAGCTGAGATGTGCATATATGTGGTGGGGGTGGGGGCTGGGTTTCAGAGGAGGGCTGCTAGTGTGGGTCACATGCAACTAGACCTACTTAGTGAGACTGGAGGGGCTGCTTACTTTGGTCAAGGAGTCACCATACCCATAGCTTCTGAGGAAGTGGGGACAGGGATCAACTCTTTGTGTCCAAGGACCTCCCAGTAGTCACCTCTGACATATCAGGGGCAGTCCTGTGGAAGACAGACTCTAGAAAGGGTACTTGATTCTAGAGGAAGAAGCTTGGAGAGGGGAAAGAAAGGAAGATTAGAGGCACTCTTTACATTCTACTCTGACTCTGTCTGTAACTCTCTCTTCTGGAACAAGAAGCAGGAACTACCTGCTGAAGAACAAGGGCCTAGCATTCGGAACCTGGATTTCTGGCCCAAACTTATCACACTCATCGTGTCAATCATAGAGGAAGATAAGAATTCCTACACACTTGTTCTGAACCAGTGAGTATCACCCTACTCGGCCCTGTCTGGTTGGTGGTTGGTTTGTCCATCTGTCTAACAGCCTCTTTCTTTCCTATCTCTGTATGTTTGCAGTGCCACCTCTTCTTCCTGTCCGTCCGTCTGTCCCTCTGTCCCTTGTATCTGTCTGGGTAGCTGTTTCTGGAGACAGGTGTGGAAACATAATGGGGGGCCCTGCCCAGACTGCACCAGCCTCCCTGGAGTGAGAGTCCTCTGGGAATAGGAGTCCCAGGGGATCCAGAGACCATGTGTGTATGTGTGGGCCACCTCATAGCCCACCTCTTACCCTTCCTCCTCCAGCTTATTTAGCTTGGGCCTACTTTCCAGCCCAAACCTTCCAGCCCAAACCTTCTCCTCCTTGCCTTTTGGGCATCCTTTCCCTGGGCCCATTTTGCCTGAGGGAATTCTCTGCCCCCACTTGTCCTAGTACTGACCCCGAACCCCCTTTTTCCAGAGTGAGTCTACCCCTGTTTCCTAGGCTTCTCCTCTCTTCAATATGACCTCTGAGAACTGGGCACATTAGCCTTGGAATCAATAAAATCAAATAGTTCTTGCTTTGTTTTCTGATTGAAGCTTCTTCCATCATCCAGGTTTCCTCAGGAGCTGAATGTGGGAAAAGTCAGCGCAGAAGTGATGTGGCAACTTTTTGCCCAAGACATGAAATATGCACTGGAGGGTAAGGGTGTGCCCAAGGCAGTGGGCTGCAGGCCCCTTGTCCAAGCACCTGGTTTGCTTTCTCTTTCCTCTCCCAGCAACTACAAGTTCAGGGTGAATGTCACAGTGAGAAATAGAGGGTTCAGGCATAGTGAGTGATAGGCCTCAGGAGGTCTTGGGTAGACAAAGCTTTAGCCAAATGAATAATGTAAATGGCTATAGGTTCATTCCTTCAGCTTGAGAACAAGTGCCTGCCTAAGACTTTCCCAGCCCAGGAATCAGCTCCTCCCATCTGGGTGTTCACAAGTGGCTCACTTCCTGGAGAAGAGTCTTAGGAAATTTATCTTACAGTGTTAACGAATCATAGACCCTTAAATACATAAATAGGATTCTTTTCTCACACTGGGGGCTGCCTGGCCTGGCTTTCCTTGAAAGCTCTTCTATAAAGGGGGTAGATGACGAGAACCTGTGATTACGGCCAGTGTTCCAGACTCTGGGCAAGCTATGAGTGCTCTTTGTCCTAGATTTCCCAGAAGGCTTTGGAGATTCAGCTGGAAATTATGGACCCTTTCAAGTCCAAAATGAGCATCTCATTTTCTGTAACATGATGAGCCTCTTATCTGGCTGTGTATCCATGGTTTCCAAACTGACTATTCTTATTTGCAAACTTCTTTGAGAGTTCATTTTTCAGGGTCTCAGCTATGCTCTTGGACCCTTCGGTTTATATCAAGATTCTGTTGCACCATGGCTGCTCAATGCAGTTTCTGTTAGCTTGGGTCCACTTTGGTTTTCCCTGTCTCTGTGTATTGTCAGTGACCTATTCATGTCATGTACAACTGCTCATCTCTGCATTTTTTTTTTAATCCTCACCTGAGGATATTTTTCCATTGATTTTTTGTTTTTGTTTTTTTAGAGAAAGTGGAAGAGAGAGGGAAAGACAGAGAGAAATATCGATGTGAGAGAAACACATTAATTGGTTGCCTCCTGCATGCACCCTGACCAGGGCCCGAGCTGGGGAGGAGCCTGCAACCAAGGTACATGCCCTTGACTGGAATCGAACCCAGAACCCTTTGGTCCACAGGCCGACACTTTATCCAGTGAGCCAGGCTCTTAGAGAACAGAGCACTCCTGGTAGGGGGAACATGGCTATGAGGAGGTGGTTGGGAGGAGCTGCCTAACTGGATCAGCTGCCTTGAGAAAACTCAAGGCCTCTACTGCCAGGACCTGACCCAGCTTTCTTCCCTGTCACTAGAGCATGAGAAAGACCGGCTGTGTAAGAGTGCTGACTACATGAACCTACACTTCAAGGTGAAGTGGCTCCACAATGAATATGTGCGGGATCTGCCTGCCCTCCAGGGGCAGGTACCTGAGTACCCAGCGTGAGTCATCAAGTGGGCACTATGGAGGGAAGGGAAGAGGGACCTCTGGCTTAGCGTAGGGGTGGGGCCAGTATCCTCAATTTGGTTCAGTAAGCCAGTCTTGAGACCTGTTCTGGGCACTGCTATAGAAAGAGAAAAGTGTCAAACCATGTCCTACTTTCCAGAAGATCCCAGTCTGGGGGAGCTGTCAGGCATATGGCATATGCCAACAACTAGCTCCAGGCCCCAATTATCTTTCCTGGCTGCAGGTGGTTTGAGCAGTTTGTCCTACAATGGCTGGATGAGAATGAGGATGTATCCCTGGAATTCCTACATGGGGCCCTGGAACGAGATAAGAAGGATGGGGTAAGTCAGGGGCTTGGGCTACACAGGCTTGAGGCCAGCAATTAGCTGTCAGCAAATGTTCCTGGGCTTTAGATAGATTGGGGCTATTCTTGCCCTGAGGAGTCCATAAGGAGGGTGGTTGAGGGCCACTGAGCCACCCCTACTGGGAAGAGCCCTTTTGAACCCTATGAACTTGGAGAAAGTAGACGCTGAAGATGCTGACCCTGTATGTGGCCTTCCTTAGTTCCAGCAGACATCAGAGCACGCACTCTTTTCCTGCTCTGTGGTGGACGTCTTCACACAGCTCAACCAGAGCTTTGAGATCATCCGAAAGCTGGAATGCCCAGACCCCAACATCCTTGCCCACTACATGAGGAGATTTACTAAGGTGACCATGACCCTCCCTTCCCCCTCCCCTTACTACCACCACTCACAGCCTAGTCACAGGCCTGAGCTCAGCCCTTCTTTGTGGTGGCCTTGAGGTGAAACCTGGGTTACCCCATTATCCTTTGTTTGTGACTAGGGTGAATAGATGGGTTTGTCTCAGTGCTGTTCTGGGGTTGAGAGGGGGCTTTGTCCTTTCTGTGAGATTCTACTTTACCTCTATGTTGTATTGTTCTAGGATGAGAGGTGTGACCTCTCAGGCAAGATCCTTGTGGGGAGAGCTAAGGTTTCCTTCTTTCCTTTTTTCTTTTCTCAGACCATCAGGAAGGTGCTGATGCAGTATGCAGACATCTTATCAAAGAACTTCCCAGCTTACTGCACAAAAGAGAAAATGGTGAGGATCCGGCCCTGGGACCCTTGAAGAAGGGAATGGAAGCCATTTGAATCCTTCCTTTTGAAGCTATTCTTAGAGCTGAGGGTGGAGTGATGCTCCTGACTTCTGATTCCCAGCAGGGCTTCGCTTGATATTGTGCCACAGAATAAGAACTTGACTAGGAGTTCATCTGAGCTTCCATTTGGTTCTTTAGCCTCTACTAAGCTAGACTTTTGCTTAGTCTCTTTTTTAATAGTGTAAAAAAAAAAGTTGAGCTAGTCAAAGTGTTTTAAAGGATAACACCATGAACACCTGGGGCCCACCACCCAGCTTCAAAACAGAAACATTTGCTCTAGTCTTCATTCATAGAGAATTGTCTGAATTGGTTCCAGATCTCTTAGGGAGAGACACATGTAAAACCTGTTGTAATTTCCCTGTGGCTTTCGGAGTAGTGTGAGAAAGGGAGGAACCCTAGGCTGATGGGTCCTGTGCTAAACGAAGCCAAGACTTAGCAGCTCCATCTGTCCCCAAAGCCCTGCATCCTGATGAACAACATGCAGCAACTGAGGGTCCAGCTGGAGAAAATGTTTGAGGCCATGGGAGGCAAGGAGGTAGGTCTTAGGGGTTAGGGTTGCTGTACTTTCCCTTTGTTCTTTAGCTTTTTGACCACAGAACTCTACACTTTCTTGACTGGGTGTAGGCCAGGAGTTTAGCTTGGGGTCTGGGCTGGCTTGGGCTGAGAGATTGGAGTAGGCATTGGGGTAAAGGCCCAAGGAGGGAGGAGTCGGGACACAGGATGGGAGACAAGGGTAATTGAACCAGCTTAGCCAAGCCCACCTCCTGTGGATATAGTTGGATTCTGAAGCTGCCGACAGTCTGAAGGAGCTGCAGGTGAAACTGAATACAGTTCTGGATGAGCTCAGCGTGGTGTTTGGAAACAGGTCAGTGGCCCCAAAACACATAGTCCTCAGAGCCAGATGTGGTTCCTGATGAATCTCAAAGCTCCTGCCCCACACCCATCCATCCAGCTGCAGGTGTGTGGATCTTCTGTCTCGTCCTATTGGCTCTCCCTGTTGGAAGCTGTACCACGAGTGTTCTGGAGTAGGATCGAATAGCTGGTGCTACTCCAGGGCCAATGTGTGTGTTTGGGAAGGAGAGGGTTGCACTATGGGCACATGTGTAGTTTCCAGGTGCGGATTGATGAGTGCATTAAACAAATGGCCGACATCCTGAGCCAGGTGCGGGGCCCAGGGAATGCATCCCCCAACGCCAGGGCCTCAGTGGCTCAGGATGCAGATAGCGTGCTCCGACCTCTCATGGACTTCCTGGATGGCAAGTGAGTACAGTACTCAGGACTGTCCTCTGGGACAAGCAAGGCAGAGGAGCCTCTTGGGGAGGGGGGTTCTCATTCGCCCACCCAGCCTTACCTGTTGCCTGGGCCTGCAGCCTCACCCTCTTTGCCACTGTGTGTGAGAAGACGGTCCTGAAGCGTGTGCTGAAGGAGCTCTGGCGGGTGGTATTGAACACAATGGAAAGGATGATTGTTCTGCCCCCACTCACTGACCACACGGTAAGGACACTTCCCTTCAACTTCCTTCTGCTGTCTCCCTTGCCTTGCTCCACGCTTCCTGCTCGAGTTTGGAGTCTTCTGCTTTTGACTGATTCCCTCTCTGCCCAGGGCACTCAGCTGATCTTCACTGCTGCCAAGGAGCTGAGCCATCTCTCCAAACTCAAGGTACTCTAGATCAGCAGTCGCCAACCCGGTGGTCCGCGGACCACTGGTGGTCCGTGAGGTCCAAAGGGTTGGCGACCGCTGCTCTAGATACGTGGAGTCCTTCTGAGGCTGGTGGGGGGAGGGGATTGCCTGGAAGGAAGGAAGGAAATTTAAGCATTGGAGACTGAAGAGGAGGGAAAGGAGAGTGCCATGTAGCTGTGGGTTGGCAGGTAAGGGCAAGATTTTCATGACAGCCCAAAGGTGACCTGATGCTGTTGCTTTCTCTGTGGTTCCAGGACCACATGGTGCGAGAGGAAACACGGAGTCTCACTCCAAAGCAGTGTGCTGTCCTTGACCTCGCCCTGGACACCATCAAGGTGGAGACCTCCCCTGCCTCCAGACAGTCTTACTACCACACCCTCTTGGCCCTGGCATTGCACTCTGCCAGACTAGGTGTCCCTCAGGCTCCTGTCACCCACATCAGAAGAGAGTGGTTTTTATGTCTGTTTCCTTCTCTGCTATGTCTGTATTCCTACTTGGGAGCAACCAAAAAGGCACCTCCTGTGTGGTCTAGAGTGACTCACCATGGACCTAGAATACTTACTTATTCCTGGGTTCTGAATTGCACACATTCAGTTTACTTAGCTCTTCATTGCCATTCCTGAATATTTTCCACTGGGAATTAATCTTCCAGATCCTAATACCCCAGATCTGGCTAACATTCCCCTCTTTCACTTTCATATAAAGTCATTTGGGTTTTCAAAGGATTTTTTTTCTACTACCCACTTATTTATTCAATGAGACATGTACCAGACACTGTACTGTGAGTGATACGGAAAGAATCAATGTGGTTCCTAGCCTCAAGGTGGTTATAATGGTTATAAGGCAGGTATAGGAGAACTGGGATTCAGGGCACTTGGGAGAGGTAGGTCATAGGTATAAAGTTCTCTAAGAATTCAGAGGGGATAAAAGAGCACTTCTGTCTACTCTCTGCCTGAAATGCTTCTATCTCATATCTTTGCTGTCCAGATAGATCCGTCCTTCAAAACCAAAATCTAGTAACATGGCCATCCCTGCCCCGCCACCCCCGCCCCCCCGCCTCCTACCAGAGACCCAAATAATACTCTTCCCCTGGGAGATGTGACTCCTGATCTTGTTGTTTACTGAGTGACTTATTGTTCTCACCATCCTCTTCCGACATCTTCGTTGAACCTCAGGTGTCATTTCTCTGAGGACAGTGTTGGGGAACTGCCTCTCTGTAAGCGCATGAGGCAGTAGCAAGTACTCTTTTTGCTTTTCAGCAATACTTTCATGCAGGAGGCAATGGGCTGAAGAAAACCTTCCTGGAGAAGAGCCCAGATCTGCAGTCCCTACGCTATGCACTATCTCTGTACACACAGACCACAGATACACTCATCAAAACCTTTGTGCGTTCACAGACTGCCCAGGGTAAGACTAAGGGCTTTGGGTCACTGCCTCCCTTTCCTGATCTTTCTCTGCCCCTATGGAGTTAGTGTCCTCTAGCTCTTAGATCTCTCTAACAGGTACTTCTTCATAGATCCCTTCAAACTCAGACCCCAGGATTTCTTGAAGAACCCTAATACTTATCCCCACCTCATACTCAGGACCAGACAGGAGAATCACAGGGACCTGGAAAATGTGCCTGAGATTTTTTTTCCTAGACATTGCCTGTCCAGTGCATGTTTATGGAGCTCAAGTGGTATATCTTGTTTGGTAGGGAAAAATCTGTGAGCAAGCCTAGCGAACGAGTGATTGAGACACTCACTCATGAGGACTCATTGCTTTGGGAACCTTTGTTGGAAGTTGTCCTGGGCATAGAAAGCAAAAGACTTTCCAGATTCTCCAGCATGGACAACAAGAAGAGAGGCAGCCATAGGAGAGTTGAAGAAAGGGTGCAGATCACATACATAGCTGAGCTCCAGCCTCATGGGTGATGCTAATGCACAGGGGACCCAGGCAGCTGGTTTTCTCCTAGTGACATCCAGTCCTCAGAACCCCTCCCTGCCTCCAGTCAGGCCTATCCATAACAAAACACCTCTGCATAAACATGGCTAAATTCTGACCTTGACCTTGGAGAAGGGCCCTCCCAGGAAGGACCTTCAGGTGCATTTATTATTGTTTGTTCCAGGGAAACCTGGGCATGCTTCCTGGGGCAGTGAAGCTGGTGGAGGAGGGATTGGGAAGGCTTGGGCCTTACTGAGCTGTGGATCTGGAGTATAAAGCTGACCTGAAGGGGAAGAGGAGTCTAAGCAGTTAGACTGGACTTGATGGAAGGTGAAAAGATACACAAGACCTGCAGTACTACATTTTTCACATCTGTTCTTATTTCAAGTCTAGGGTGGGAAGAAGAGGAAGCAAAAGAAGTTATGAACCTTGCTTAAGGGGACAAAGAAAACCTTTACAGAGCTGAGTACATGTAAAGATCCCTAACATTAGGGAGGATCTGAGTTAATCCAGAAAGGCTTTTAAAACAAAACAAAACAAAACAAAACAAAACACAAAACAACTTTGAGCTTTAAGCTAAATATAAAGATGAGCAGAAGCTGGAATAGACAGATATGAGGTAAGAGTAGGAGTGAGGACTGCAGGGAGGATCTGAGTTTATATGTATATTTTTCTACCCATTGCTTTATTTACTTAAGAGCCTAGGAAATAAGAGCTTACAGCCTTTCTTTTTCATGCCCCACTGGGCTTAGAAACCTTCACTCTCTTATGATTTGATTGATCTTTGACCCATGAAGTCTGATTTGGAGTATTCAGGCACTGACCCCAGCTTTGTTACTTCTCTCTCCATCCTGCCCCATCTCTGTGCTCCCTCAGAATATGTGTAAAGCTGCTCTGAATGGCTGTTAACTCCTTAGACCACTAACTGATTCTTCTTTCTCTGTCCTACTGCTGCTACTACCTCTTGACTTTCCTGTCCTCACTCAGTGCATGATGGGAAAGGTATTAGGTTTACTGCTAATGAGGACATTCGGCCGGAAAAGGGTATGTTATAAACCATGCAGATATGAACCTAACATTGTCTAACACTGTCACCTGTGAACTAACATGAGCTGCTTATTTTTGGAGTGGAGGCACTAGGTGTCAAAGTTCAGAAGCTCTATCCCAAGTCTCAGAGATGGGCGTTGTATTCATACAGTCTGAGATGGGGTTAGCAATAGTCTGTCCTCAGAATTATCCCTTCCCTCCACCTTAGGACAAAGAAGTTTTATCTGGGTTCAGGGTACTGGTGTTTTTCAAAATAGAGTAAGGCCTCTGCTAGGGGGAACCTGCTAATGGGCCAGACATTGAGACTGGGGAGCTGTTTGTGGAGAGGTCCCAATTTGAGTAGGATAAAGTCTTTCTGAGCAGAGCAGCCTCCCAAGCAGGGGCCTCCAGGAATCCAGGGATAGGTGGGAGGTTACTGCTTTTGGCTAAAAGGGACCCACGTTGTTCCATTAAGACCATGGGATGGACATAGTTTCTAAAGACACAGGGTGGCAGCACTCTCCTTCTCCAACATCTGCAGCCTAGGAAATAGGAGAGGTTTGAGGAACCTGAGAGATTCCTGGTGCATTTTTAAAAGAAGTTTTGCATAATATCTTGTCAGCCTAACTTGTATTTTAATACACAGCCTCATTCTTTATCCCCTTTTATTCACTTCTCCCATGCTTACTTCCCCATGGCTATTGTGGATGATTGCTTCTCACTTGAGGGTATAGGGTGGTGGCCTCCTAACTCCTGTTTTATCTGGAGCAATTAGGCCTAAAATCTTCTTCAGTGGAGGATCATGTGTCCATCTGTCCCTCAGGGTCTGGTGTGGATGATCCTGTTGGAGAAGTCTCTATTCAGGTGGACTTGTTTACACATCCTGGAACTGGAGAGCACAAGGTCACAGTGAAAGGTGAGTGGCACGGACTTACAGGTCTCACACCTTTTCTTGCTCAGTGGCCTCATCAGTCAAAAGCAGAGCCTGTTAAACCCAGCCCTCCAGCTTGGCCCTCTTCTACGGGGAGTGCCACCTGGGGCTCAAGAACTGGGAACACTTGGTGCAGTCCCTCACAAGTTCCCCTTGTTTGGGCAGTGGTGGCTGCTAATGACCTCAGGTGGCAGACAGCGGGGATGTTCCGACCCTTTGTGGAAGTGACCATGGTTGGCCCACATCAAAGTGATAAGAAGAGGAAGTTCACAACCAAGTCAAAAAGCAACAACTGGGCCCCCAAGTACAATGAGACATTTCACTTGTAAGTTATGGGATGGGGATTTGCAGGACTGTGGGATGGGGGTGAACTGGGAGGTAAGGCTTGAGCGGGGAGAGGAGGGATGGGCTGAATGGCAGCTGGGGTGAATTCAGTTGAAGATCCCCTCATTTCTGGCCTCCTACCTTCCACTTACCCTGTGATCACAGCCTCCTGGGAAATGAAGAGGGGCCAGAAGCCTATGAATTGCAAATCTGTGTGAAGGATTACTGCTTTGCCCGGGAGGATCGTGTTCTAGGGCTGGCTGTGATGCCTCTGAGGGATGTGGCAGCCAAGGGCAGCTGTGCCTGCTGGTGCCCCTTGGGCCGGAAGATCCACATGGATGAGACAGGCATGACCATCCTCCGGATTCTGTCTCAGAGGAGCAATGACGAAGTGGCTCGAGAGTTTGTGAAGCTCAAATCGGAGTCTCGTTCCTTGGAGGAGGGGAGCTGAGCACCTGAGCTCCTGTGCCAACCAGATGGCACCCGTTCCACAAATCAGGGCCAGTGGGAGTTACTATGTAGCCAGCTTAGGTCCTCAGAGTTAAGAGGCTGACTTCTTCAGTTAAAGAAATTTAAGGAAATTTTGGGGTGATGGGAGTTTGGCTTTTCACAGAAAGGGTCATGAACCCCTGACCAGTAGGTCTGTGGTGCTAGGGGTTACTGCATAGGGATATTTTCCATAAAGAGAGAGGGACAGACATTTCCTAAAGTGTCACCCATTCTTGGTAGACACACCTCCACCCCACAGCCCATGTCTACTCCTCTCCCTACCGCACCTTATCCAGTTGGACCCCTGTGTACCAATCACTAGAAGAACAAGTATAGAGGGCCAGGAGCTTGTGCCTGGCTAGCTAAGTAGTCAGTTGAGCCTATAGGTATCACTGAGCCCTGTAGTCTGGATTGAAGGATAGCCAGGGCTGGAGCACACAGAATAGAATTCACACTGTCCCTTGAGCAGAATCCACTGGTTTTGTGTGCCTCCAGTGAGAAAAAGGCTTTGAAACTGAACAAGATACCTCTAGAAATGAGCTCTGTTAATCCCTTACCCAGTTCATATCTGTCGTGAACAGGAGCAGGTTCATATGGTGCTTCAGAGCCTTGAGCAGAATATTCTTTGGAACCCAAGTACCAGAGGCTACTTTCCCAGGAGTCCCTCTACCTCACTCCTGTAGGAAGGGAAGTGATGCTTCAGGACACGAGAGGCTGTTCTTGTGTGTATGCATCTGAGGACTAGTTGAAGGATCCAGGAGAAAGAACTATATTTCCTTCTTGGGTAGGCCCCGAACAAAGCCAAAATTTTTTGGAAATTAGTCTAGAAGGAGTTCTCCTCACTTATGGTCACTGCCTTCTGGCCGTCCTCCCCCTTGTAGAAAGAATCTAGCCTGTGACTTCACTCCTGTCATTAGGTCATCTGTGTCCCCCTCATGGATAGTCAGCCCCCTGGAAGAAACTTGGCCTATGATCCCTCTATACAGACTGGATGGAGGAGGGCCTCAACACTCCCGGGAGGTTAGAGACAAACTCTTGCAAGGGGTCATGTGGGCTTCCCAGGCCTTTGCTCAGAGAAATGACATGGTCCTTTAATATCCTTGGGAGCAGCTTCCTGGACTTCCTTCCTGGACTTTCTGAGGACTCTGCATTGACCACAGCTGTACTGGTCATTACATTAAACAAGAAATGAAGCATATTTGCTGTTGTTAATTATTGTATGTGCCATTGTTACAGGAGATTATTGGCTAGTCTGTAATAAATTATCTTATAGCAGCCTTTGGGGTCTTGTAATTCTGCTAAAGTGTGGAAAGTGGCAGAAATGACTATCCTATATAATGGCATATTTTGGACTAGTGGACTTTGCTGCTCTTCCCACCCCCTCCCCAAACCTACATCTCACTCACTCCTGCCCCTGCAAGTGGTGGATAAGCACCAAGCAGTAAAGCAGCCAGTGTGCTAGTATCTTGGCCTTAACCTGAGGCCAAACAGTCCAGTTAACAAAAGCATGAGACCCAGGGCATAAGCTTCCTGCAAAAGGCCCAGAAAATAGGAGATGACATGTGTGAAAACTAGTCCATGCTCTATCTTTCCTTTTCTAGAATCACGAGGCTTTTCTTCTAGGACAGACACAGCCTGGGCCATAAGGACAAGGCAAGGGCCTCCTGGGGAGAGATGTGTCTCCAGAGGTTGGGGAGGGTTGAGGCTGTGTGTGCAGGACAGAGGTGTAGGCCTAGGAGTGCACAGTGGCCTTTCATACAGGGAAATTTAAGGATAAAGTCTACTCCCAACAGGGAAGAAACAAGGTAAAAGTGAGGCCTCCTGGCATGGGAATCAGAGAAAGTGCTCACCTACTCTCAACTTGCACTGGTCACCACTTACAGAGTGGCACCCAAAGGGCACCCATTTATCCATTTACCTCATAGAGCAGGCCCCCAGCTAAGGCACATTAACTCAGGGAGTTATGTCTACTTTTCCAGCATTATCCAAATTCTCTGAAAAGGGGGCTAGTTTAGAGCCTCCCAGTTTCTTATTTCCATTTGCTTGCTAAATAAATCCTTACAATTCAGTTGCCCAGTCATTTTTAAACTTCTTCCTTTCCCAAACCAGTTGCCTATCATTTTTGCCTCAAACTTACCTTTTGGGCTTTTGTTTTGTGAAGCCCAAATTTATTTCTATTTAAAAATGCTCAAGAGACTTTAAAAAGGCCCAAAAGCCCAAAGGCGTCCAGGTTTAATTTAAGATCATCCTGACTTGGTGTCCGTCTGTTTCTCCTTTGTGAGGCATCAATTTGATCCTCCTTAATGAGACACATCGGTAATTCTAGTCGGATTGTGGTGACATCTTGTGACTCCCAGTATCGGTCATAAATGGCCATCAAGTTATGAACGATGAGAAACGTAATACCAGAAATAATCACGAGACGTCTGCAGATTTTACTTGAATATCCTTTCTGAATTATTCATCGCCACCAGGCCCAATGATGATCAATTTGAGTAGCGGACATCATGATGAGTGTCACCTGCAAAGACTGGTATTAAATGCAGCTCTTTCAGAAAGAAACCAGCAAACACCCTTCAAGATGAAACACCTCAAACTTACCTTTTGCATTCATTGTCTCACCTCAGTTACAATACCACAAGTGGCCCGGCGGACATGGCTCAGTGGTTGAACATCGACCTATGAACCAGGAGGTCACGGTTCAATTCCTGGTCAGGGTACATGCCCAGGTTGTGGGCCTCATCCCCAGTAGGGGGCATGCAGGAGGAGGCTGATCAATGATTCGCTCTCGTTATTGATGTTTCTATCTCCCTCTCCTTTCCTCTCTGAAATCAATAAAAATATATTTTAAAAGCAAAAACAAACACACAAAAAAACCCCCCCACAATACCACAAGTGGAGTAGTGGCTTGTAGTTCTTATTGGATTACTGCTGATCATCTGCCTCCATTCTGCCCCTGTCCTCTTCACACACTCTGGTCTCTTTCCTGTTAAAGCTATTCAGTAGTTACCTATCATAGTCTTTAGGCTGAAATTCCAAGACCCTTCAGGACAAGGGCAGGCACCCCTCACCGTCCTGTGGCTATTCTAAAGCACTTTCTTTGCAGTGGGGAAGGGGGGGAGGTTCCCCTATGCTCTCCTGCCCTCCCCTGCCGCTCACCCCCCGCCACACACACACTGCACTCCTATCCCTTACTGGAATATCCGCAGCCTTTTCCACTGCCTTCTGGGGTCTGACATCCTGACTTCCTTTAGGACCCAGCCAGTCCTGGACACCCTCCCCACAGTACTCTACATTGTTCTAATTTACTCGGTCTGCCTGCTCCCCATCAGCCTGGTCTATCCAAAGGCAGGGTCTGAGTATTTCATCTCCCTTCCCCATCTGCCAGTACAGAGAGGATGCCTAGGCACTTCAAAACCAGGCCTGCAGGACTCCTTTGGAAAGCCAGTGAGCGAGGGGGCGTGGCCGGAGGCGGGCTTGTGGGGGGAGGGGCGTGGTCGGGGGCGGGGCCTTGGGGATCCGCAGCGCGCCTGCGCAGGAAGGTGCGTTAAGATGGACGCCGCTGGAATGGACGTCTGCGTGGCGACGGTGAGCAAGAGGTGCCCGAAGGTGGCTCTGGAGAGGAGGTTATGGCCTTCTCCTTCCCAACGTTGAAGACTGTCCCCAAACTACCCGACATCCGTTCCCCTCCGTGTCCTTTTCAGTACCTGCCCGTCCCCGGACTGTAGTAAATCGTTCTCCCAGTCCTCCTCGCGGTTACTTCCCTTCCCTCTACTTGAATCTACGGGTTTTCCAGACACTCTAGGGCAGTGGTTCTCAGCCTTGGCTGCACATTAGAATCACCTGGGAATCTGTTTAAAATCCTGATTTCTGGGCCTCATCCTCCGGAAATTCTGTTTCTTTGTTATGGGGTGGGGCCACAACATTAGTAACAAAGAAACAGAATTTCCGGAGGATGAGGCCCAGAAATCAGGATTTAAAAAAGATTCCCAGGTGATTCTGATGTGCAGCCAAGGTTGAGAACCACTGCGCTAGGGGAAATGTCCAGATGCCTAGCAAAGGGGATCTTTATCCCACATATGCCGCCCACGGGGCACCCATTTATCCAGTCACCTCACAGAGCCGGCCCCCAGCTAAGAAGGCACATTAACTCGGGGAGTCTAGTCTGTTTCTCCAGCACTGTCCAAATTCTCTGGGAAGGCATAAATCTTATACCATATTTGACTTAAAAGTGGCACATGTGTTGTAATTTCTTTCTCATAGGGCAGGGGACCTACTTCATAGGAAAAGTCAAACTCTGGCTACTCATGGTTAATAGGCTTGCAGATTTGACTTAGTAGCCAACTTTTAAAAAACATAATCACGTTTTAAAATGCAGATTTTTAGCTTTCTGAAAAAACTGAAGGGTCTGTTAACTCTTAGCTCATATTCTCACAAAGTGACAGGTGGTTGGAGCTGAGAAGCAACTGGTAAGTTAGTTTACTGCAGCTCATTATAGACTCCATTACTCCTTATTTTCTGATTTGTACTAAGCTTTACAGTTATTTGCCTGTTACTGGTAGGCATTTGTGTTTGTGATCCCTGATGTAGGACTTAATTTCTGAATCGATACTTTGAGCTCTTGATGGAAACTGATACACAAAGAGGCTGGAGTTGTGTTTAGGTTGTCCTTTGGTTTCTGTAATGCTCTGAGTAGGACCAGAGATCATCCTAGTCGCTAAAATCCAAGGTGAAATCTGAACTAAAGTCGTTTGTTTTTAAATAAGAGAATTCAACCAAAATATCTGTAGGTTGTTCCCTGGTATATTTGATCTTGAAGAAACCCACCGTGTTAACTCCTTTCTGATGAGGTCAGGGCAAAGTATTGTACCTTTTTGAATACTGGTTATAAAAAGGGCCGGGCTCTGGTCTATTCTGAAAGTGATGTCTCAGCGGTGCTGTCTCTGTGCCCAAACACACAGATGGTAACCCTCTTCTCTGAGGAATAGCAGGTCTCCTAATGTCAAGAGTGGGGGTGTTCTGCAGGTTGTATCTAATCAGAAGTAGAACAGGACCTTTCACAGTGGACTTTTAAAGAAGGGAAAATCATTTCTTTGAGCATAAGTGTATGACCCACCTACTCATTGTGAATATTTAGGTTAGCTCCCTGAATGAATCTGCCATACCCAGAAGCAGAATGGTAAAGCTGAAGAAATAACACGGAATAGTGGAGGTGGCATAATACTGTGAATACTGACCTCAGCTCTGCTACATACTAGTCAGGGATCCTTGATCGTTAATTTCTCAGAGGCTGTTTTGTGCATCTAGTAAATAGAGCAATAATTCCTGCCATGTTTACCTCAGAGGGATCAAATGGGCTCATTAAATGTGAAAGCACTTTGAAAACTACATTTTCTCTAAGTGTATAAGGCATTATTATTATTAATGACATTCTGGGTGCTGAATAACTTTCAAGGTGTTTGTCTTGCTGCTTCCAGGTTCAAAATCAAGGAATATTTTGCTGAGTACATCCTATGTTCCAGGTGCTCATCTAGGCATGGAGCCTAGCATTGAACAAAACAAAAACCCCTGTATAAATTTAGGAGTGAGTCATCAGCATATTGAGTGTCTACTAAGTACCCAGTGCAGTATAATAGCATGGCATAGTAGGAAGAATCTAGATTATGGATTTAAGTCTGCCTCTAATACAGCTGTGAGAGACTCCCTGTGTCAGACTGAACTTCCCCATCTGTAAAATAAAGAGGTTATACAGGGTAAACTCTAAGGTTCATTCCAGATAAAATGTGTTTCTTTAGAGATTCTAATTGCTAAAGTTCCTTACCCATAAGGAGTTAGTGTTCTGCTGGGATGATCAGACTAACAAAACTGAACAGTGATAGGACTTCAAGGACAACAGAGTGCTAATGTCACACTAGCTTCAGCACAATGGTGGTTACAACAGGATTTCTCTGTAGGTAATGGAGCATATAAAAAGATTTCCTGGACGACCAGCTAGACCCAGATGGCTGGGAAGCCTTGGATTAGAGGAAAGGAAGGAGACTCTATTGTAGATATTGGAAATTGAATTAATTGAAGTGCAAAGGAGAAGGACATGCCATTCATTGTTGTCCTAGTATCTAAGGCAGAATCCTTGCAGAAAAACGATTGCATTCAAATATGTTTAACTGAAGAGAGTTTAACCAAAGGGCTATTTACAGAGGTATAGTCAGTATTAAAAATAACTAGAACGGAATGGTGAAACACAACAGTGGCAAATCAGTAGCACTCCTCAGCCTGA